GCTTTGGACCCCTTTGGCTATAAGAGAGACCCTCTCCCTCATTAGCAAAGGTTCAGAAAAATTGGTCTAAGGCATATGCATATCCCTATATATCTCTCCCTTTAGGCCTTGAAAGGTTGAAGTTCTTGACCCCTTTGCATACCATCTCCTAGCACAACACCTCCACTATCAACCTAAGCACCTTGGAGTTTGTTTTCAGAGGCTAAGGAGTTGCGGTTTTGGTCCAAAAGCTGCTGGAGTGCTTGAGCTTCAAGGGTAACACCCTATTCCCTCTTTTGGTCTTTATTTTGCTTCATCTTTTAGCTATACTTGAAAGCATATTTGGCTTTGTCATAAACTGAAAAAAGTCTTATTTTGAGGTCCTTAACATATTTGTTTAAGATCTTTTTTCTGTTGGGGGCCATTTACCCCCTTGTATGCTTCATTTTGCCTTATTATGAGCCATGCATTAGGGCCTTTGCATTGACCTTTGTTTGGTCTTCTAGCCACTGAAATCCAGTGGAATTTCAGTGGCTAGCATGCTGTTTTGAGTGCCAAAATGAGAGAGGGGTGACCCTCTCTCCCCTTTGTTTTATTTTCTAGCATATTTGGACTAACAAAGGTGCCCTTATTTGCATGCTTCCAAGCCATGTTTCAGGAAATTTTTGGTAGGTTTTAGGACCTACATAGGCTCTGTCTAGAGCCCTTTTTTCCATTTTGGGTGTCCATCTTGTATGTGTAGAACAACCCTCTTTATAGCCTATCAAAGCAGCCTATCATTCTTGCATGCATAGACCATGTTTCAGTGGGTTTTTGGGCTTTATTTGGCACGTCATACCTCTGGCTTTTGCTGATTTGGTGGCCTCTTGATTTCCTTACATGCTTGTAGTGCAAATCCTTTTTACTAGCTTATATTGCATGCTATTTTGGCCTTTGATCCTAGCACTTTTTGGCCATGCTTTAAACTGATTTTGTGCATGTTTTGGATTGCCTTAGCTTTGTTTTTATGTCTCATGGTCGAATGATGCTTGCTATGCATGGTTGTAGTTCAATACCCTTGCCTAGCTTTGAGTTTTGGAGCCTATTGTATGCTTATACTGAGGTGTTTCATGTTTTGGGGCCATTGAGCGTGTCATTTCAGAGCCTATAATTATGCCATATTCCTATGTTTTCCACTCTTTAAATGTGTTTGAGATTCGCGCTTAAATACCTCATTTATGGACCATTGCATGAGCTTCATTTCTATGCATTTTGAGCCATCATTTTAGACCATTTTCCCACTGTCTTGGACCTGCATAGAGACTGTTTGGGGCTGGTTGGGTCATTTGAGCATTGCTTTTTGTACCTCTAGTGTAATGCACTTCACTAGTTTCAGTATCTGGGCCATCTAGCATGCATTGTGTGAGGTGTTTACATGATTCAGGATCATCTTACATGTCATTTCAGAGCTGAAAAACGTCTGATTGTATGCCATATTTCATCCCTTGCCATGCTTTGGTAGAGTTGCATTTGGTGCCTTAGGTTTGGTCCCTTGCATTTGTGCATATTTGCATGTGTTTTTGTTGCCTAATTTCTTCATGTTTGGCCACTGATTTGAGTGTGGCTGAGGCCCATTCATTTTAGTTAAGTCCATCTCGCATTGTGTATGCCATGTCCATGTTGTCGCATGCTTGATCGTCGCATTGTGTATGCCTTGATTATACCTTTGTGTATGTCCATCTCTATGAGTGCATTGCGTATGCCATATAGTTTTCATGTGCATTGAGCATGCCATTGATTATTTCATAGCATCGTGTATGCTAGTAGCATGTTTGCATATCATCATTTACATGTTTGCATCATTTAGTGGCATTATGTTTAGGTTGCATGTTAGAGTTGCATTCATGCATGCCATGTGCATTGCATTGTGTTTGAAGTAGGGTTTAGTCCAAACACGGGAAATGAGGGATGTTTCGTACTCAAAGTGACGAAACGTGCTTCGATTCTCGGTCGCCGACACTCCGGATTACCCATGATGGAGTTTAGGCCTTATTGTGTTCATTTGTGCATCCATCTCACATTGAGTCATGCAATTCGACTCCTCGGCCATCATGCATCGAGATGCGTGATTGGTGGCACGAGGATCGAGGACTACACTCCTTAGAGCTCATGCAATGATGGGGAGAGTGGTCGTGCACACATATGTTGAAAATACTTTGCCATGTCCCTTTCTTGCTCTCTGTTGCAGCAAATCGGAAACCAGCAGCAAAAACTGGTCGATAGTATCCCTACAGCATGGTGGAGTTTCAGCCTTCTGGAGTTTTGTACAATGTTCTGGGACCAGTTGCAAACAGAGGCAAATCGGGGCATTGCAATGGATTTTCTGACAAGGCGACTCGAGCATGCATGCCTTCCTTATCATTCAAGACCAAGCTGAGGCAGTCCATTCCATATGTTTTGCATGCTAGCTTATTTATTTTAGTTAATTTTTTAATTAATTAGGGTTGTGTAATAATTAGCTGTAATTCGTTATTCATTCGGTTGTGTATTATTTATTCGGACCCTCCGAGGAGGGCAGTTGTAATAAGTGTCAACTACATACAATAATAGTTAAAGATCACACTTTGAAAAAAATATATCTCACTTTTATTGGAACGGTGATCAAAAAATTAGATTGATATTTTAATCACACTTATTTGAGTTTGCGTGTGATAATATTTTTTTTCTTATGTACTTATTCAATTAAGTGTGATTATATATATATATATATATATATTTTATCACACCTCTAATTTAAAGTGTGACTTATATATACACTACTACTTTTTACATCACACTTTTTTAAATAAGTGTTTATTATATATATATTATATATATTTTTAATTCACACATTCTAATTAAAGTGCTGATATATTATAATATTTTTTAATCACACCTTCTAATTAAAGTGATGATTATATATACACTATTTACTTTTTAATCACCACTTTTAAATTAAGTGTGCATATATATATTATATTTTTTAATCACCACATTCTAATTTAACAGTGTGATTATTTATATATTTTTTAATCACACTTTTTAAATAATTCTAATTAAAGTGTGATTATATATACATTACTACTTTTTAATCACACTTTTTAAATAAGTGTGATTATATATATATATTTTTTAATCACACATTCTAATTAAAGTGTGATTATTTATATATTTTTTAATCACACCTTCTAATTAAAGTGTGATTATATATACATTACTACTTTTTAATGACACTTTTTAAATTAGTATGATTATATATATATATTTTTTAATCACACATTCTAATTAAAGTGTGATTATTTATATATTTTTTAATCACACCTTCCAATTAAAGTGTGATTATATACATTATTACTTTTTAATCACACTTTCCCAAATAGGTGTATTTGTATAAAATATTCCAATTTGATTTGTATATAAAATATACAATTCCCATTTTTTTTTTTAAAAAAAAAAAGTCCCAATACCAAAACACAAATTAAAAAAAAAAAAATTCAAAATACATTTAACTCGTTGGCTACTTCTAATCAAAAGGAAAGTAGAAGGTTAGGGTTCATCACAAGGCGCAAGAGAGAGAGAGAGAGAGAGAGAGAGAGAGAGATGGAGTTAAGGATGGCAATTTGAAATCGGCCTGATGGGGACCCGACCCCCCGACCCCGAATTGAGCGGGTTTTCTTCGAAAAATACCTCCGACGGGACGGGGATGGTATTTAAAATTCAATCCCCGAACAGATTTGGGCAGGGGACGGGGATCAGTGTCCCAGCCCTGTACCCGGCCGGCCCCGTCCCTGATCCCCGGCCCGGTTTATCCCCGATGTTAAATTACAATTTTACCCTTATATACATATATATATATATATATAAACCACTGACTTTGCCCTTATTTCACCTCAGATCTCATCTCTCTCTACACACCGTCTCCGTCTCTCATCTCTCTCTAGCTCACTGACTTCTCTTTCTCTCTCTCTCAGATCTACCGCCACCACACCGCGTCTCTCATCTCATCCACTCCCTCTTTTCTCGACGTCGCCGACTACCACTGCCGTCTAGCTCATACCACCACCACTACCACTGCGTCTCTCATCCATCCCCTCTCTTCTTGACGTCGCCGACCACCACTGCCATCCAGCTCGCACTACCACCACCACCACCGCGTCTCTCATCAGATCAGATCTTTTTTTTGTTTTTGTTTTCAGATATGTTTCAGATCTGTCTCAGATCTGTTTCATAATTTTTTGTTTTTGTTTTTAGGTCTGCCTCGGATGATGATGATGTTGTTGTATTTTCTAAATTTTTTTTTCTTGTTTTCAGATTTGTTTCAGATCAGATAGATCTATTTCACAATTTTTTTTTTTTGTTTTTAGATCTGTTTCAGATCTGTCGGATGATGATGTTGTTGTTGTATTTTTTGAATTTTTTTTTTTTAGCCGGGGAATGCTCGGGGTCGGGGAAACCCGATCCCCGTTGGGGGGGTGGGGGCAGTGATAGGTTCCCCGTCGGGGATCGGGGCCGGGTCGGGGGAAATTCGACCATCGGGGATCGGGAACGGGGAGTGTGTTCCTCGGCCCCGCCCCGCCCCGTTGCCATTCCTAGATGGAGTGCGTTCAATACTGTTGGGGGCAGAGTGTTTCTTACGATCGCCGTTTTTGGAGGCATCTCTCTTATCACCCCAAACCATCATCGCCTCGAAAAGCCCTCCGTTTGCAACGTCGGCATCGTCACCGGCAAGAAGCTTCTAGTCTTCGAAATTCTCTTCTTCAGCTTCTTCCTATTCTCCTCTTTAGTCACTGAGGGCCTCAAGCTCGCCATCAATCTCTTGAACATACAACAAAAAGAGTCTTTAACTAATGATGAAAATAAATTTTATCACAAAAGACGTACCTTTTAATGAAGAAAATAATCTTTCATCTCTAAATTAAATATTGTTAAAAGATAATTTAATTAATCTTAAACTTTAAGTAAATTTATTATGAATGTCCACAAGGCTAATAATAATAATAATAATAATAAAACAAGGAGAGTAATTATTTTAGGGTTAATAATATAAATACATAAATAAATAAAAACCTAAGTTCTTATTAACACAGCCTCCGCAGCCGTGAGAATGAGGGGGAAGGAGAAGAACAGCCGCAGTCCAGGTCTTGGACTTAGGTTTCGTAGCTCTTGCTCTGGGCCACCATTATCACAGGTAAGAAAACTTCCATTTCTCTCTCTATTTTTCTGAAATCTGGTTCTTCTCTGATCTGATGAGTGAAATAGGTTTGAATTCAGTTCTGAAATGGTTTGATTTTTAAATTTCTTCCATGATTGAAATGGGTTTCTGAAATGATCTTTATTTTCTGAAAGGGGTTTCGGAATGGTTTCTATCATTGCACCGTTTCAAAAATGGTTTGTCATCTATATTTGCTGATTTTATTTTCTGAAAGGGGTTTCGAAATGATCTTTATTTGCTGATTTTGGATTGTTTTTTCTCTCATCTGTATAGTTTCTCTGTGTATAGCAAAGATGAGTCATGCTATATAATTTTTGTGTCTGCAAGGTGCTCGACAAAATGTCACAATGGCATTGCAAAGATGAGATTTGTCATCTCAGTTCTGTTATTTCTTGTGTTCATTTTATTTGGAGGTAAACACACCTTGGTCCTTTTTCAAAAGCTTCAGTTTTGATATGTATATATGTTTTTTGCTTGATTTTGATTTTCTTGTTTTCAAAAATTGTAGTTGCGTATGATCCATTAGCTTTAGTTGTGGCTATACATGTTGTTAAGAGTCATTTTGTTATTTTTATTACTATATGGTTTACTAGAGTGGAATTTTAAGTGGTTTTCATTGATCAAAATTTTAATAAACAACAGAGAGTCTTAGTAATTAATTTCTGCTGTTAAAGATTTTGTATAACATAAATGTCTGCTGAACAATGCATGTGGTTTAAGGATGTGATACAAAGTGCTACTCTGTTTTTGTCTTTTCTTTTTTTCTTTTTCCCTTTAAATTAAAGAAAGTACATGGTTGTTGAAGTTGGGGAGAGTTTTAATTTTGTTGTTTATTTTATATGGAAGAAAGGCCTTTCTGGTTATATTTTTCTTCTAATCTCAGTTGTGTATAAATTTTCTGCAAAGTAGAATAAATATTATGTCATGCTAATATATTATTCATTTTATTGTGTTGTCCATGTCAGAAAGCTTTATATGTGTTCTCTAATAAGTAATGTTTCATTATAGTTGGCTTATTGACTCAAGTATTTATGAGTAATGAATCTTCCCAAACCCACCTATGATAGACATTTTGTAATTTGGTATCTTCTAGCATTAGTGCGAGCATTCAGGAATTTGTGATCATGGTTCTTGAGGTATACAATTATCCATGTTATCTTTTTGCCTTTCCTAACTTAGGAATTGTTTGGTTGTCTTTTTTAATTACTTTTTGTCTATTTAAGCAAAAAAAATTAGATCATTTTGCTTGTTTGCAGTTCCTTTTGTACTCTATTCAACTAGACAAGTTTTATTAATTGCTCCTGCACAAATTAAGAGGTACTTCTATATTCTTCTAATTGCATGAACCAATTGATTTGATTTGGTGGGTTCACTTTGAATTTGAGCATTGTTTATTTATTTGCATTTTCCTATTTGATCCCATTATTGATGGCAGAGAACTACAGATCTCATTTGACAATTTTCCATATTATTTATGGTAGAAGCCTTCCGCACAACTGTAATCTTTCCTGTATAGTCATTTTATGTACTTATTCTATGTTCTAACATCCACTGCAGATCTCTTATCATAATTCAGCTTTTGAGTATGTTAGCATATTCCACATACTTTTGAACTTGATAACTACTTCTTATATAAGATGTTGACTAGTTCCCTTATTCTGCAAGATAGGTAATATAATGATCTAAATGGAAGCACACATTTACACTGAAATTGATAAAAGTTCAATTGATCAGTTTGCTTGTAGAGAAGGGTAGACCTACCACCAAGTGCTTGGATAAAACTTTTTGGGTCCCTAATGAAAAAAGATCTTCTTCTTTGTCATATTATCTTTGAATTCATTAGGGTCCAACAAAATATTCTCAGGACCTATGTTACATGGATTTGGATACGGGTGCATATCTTGAGGTTGGATACATCAAATCTCAAATTTAAGGGTATATGAACTAGGCAAAAAAATATTATATTTTTAATTTTTAATCTATTATGTGAGATAAAATAATATTATATGTAACATAGTGTCAAATAAAAAATATTTTACTTATTTCATAGTAATTACAACAAATACACATACAAATATGAATATATAAGAATTGTCCACTAAAAATTATCAGACACATTCCACACCCATGACCAAGTGTCAAGTGTCCGAAACTGATATTTGATTTATTTTGAAGAATCAATGTAACATAGGTCTGGACCCCACTCAAATTTGGAAGTCCAATGACATAACTATAAGAAGGCATGTGTTCTGATAGGTGCAGACCAAACCGCTAACCATGTACTAAACCAGGAGACCAACCTCACAAGTACACAGCTAGATAAAATCATGAGCTCATGGGGTCCTTTGACCCCACTTCCCATTAGGCCACATTATTCGATTTTGACACAAAATAGCCAACCAAATCTTGTAACTTTCTCAATGTTTCTCTCTACCTGCCTTAATCTGAGGTCCTTGGAGCCTTTCAGGACACATTTTTGGCGTCACATTCTTTAAATAGTCATAGTCCTTAATACGAAAAGCACACCGTCTCTCACTTCCTCCTACTGCCGAAGTGATCTAAATCAGGCACTCTGAAGAAAGATAAAAAAAAATGAATGTAACTCCAATTTATGTTGAAATTTGGATGATGAAAACTATTCTTAATATTTTCTGAGTTCATATTTTCATATATCTTGATTGCAGTTACTTGGTTGGATGCATCGCAAGTTCCGGGCCAATGAACCACTGAAGGATTTTAGCGTAGGTAAGTCATGTATACCCTTACATATTTTTCTGCTAACGCTTTGCTAAAGCAATAATGAAAAGATTGGTGCACATATTAGAGTCAGACTGTAAGTGCAGTATTAAACATAATCATGAGTAGTCATTATAATATTTGTGGTAAGACCAATATAATCTAGTAGCATAATCAGTAGATCACTGGAAATTCGATAAGTCAGGTGTTGTTTAGGAAAGACAGCTTCAAAGCAAAGTAGCTGTTACATACCTGGAAATAATTAACCGCATAAGACCTGTGTACTTAGCAACTCTCCATGCCGCATGCTTATTTATAGCTGGAGTACAGCTTCAAGTTCAACTGAATGAACTACATACTGTAAGATTGTTACACTTGACATTCCCTGTGAGTATAAAGCTAATTGTTTTCCCAATCAATATTCCTCCATTGCTATTTCTACACGTCCCTGATTCCTGTACTAAAAATTGAGATAATGGTAAGCATCAACAAGCCCATGAGTCATGATCCATAATATTTAAAACAACAGCAAAGCATAATATGCCATTAATTCTTTTGAGATGCCTTTGAAAACACAAACCTACATGACATCCCTCCCAACTAACCTCACCATTATCCCAATTATTTAACATTTCTTCTGTCAGGGAATTCTTGTACTTGTCTTTCAGGGCAACCATCACTGGATGACCAACAGTACTACCCAAAGTCAAATTTTGGCACTAAATCCTTAGGCAAAGCACAAAGAGACAACCATCTGCGAAAATCATTTGCCAGCCTAGAAGCAGCAAGAGTAGAAGCAGACGACTTTGAAGAAGAATCTTCAGTTGCGATTTCCGAGCTCTTGCATGGCTTCCTTACCATAGGTACTCTTGGTTCAGACCCAGTCAGCACAGACTCATCAACGCCAACATTTGCCATATCAGTTGAGAACATAACTGAAAAAGAAACAGAAGTAACAGAGAATGAACTGAAGCTTATTAATGATGAGTAGGAGAAGGTGATAGGGGCTGAAAGAGACAGTTTCAATGACTTATCTGGGAGAAACAGTCATGTTAGTACTGGAAGAAACATTTATGTTAGCACTGGAAGAAGCTGCCATGGTAGCACCATTACACTTAGAGGAAAGCCATTGGAAGGCACATAGACCAGTTGGAATGGAACAACAATCTGTCCACTCCAGAGCTATCTGTTTGGATCAGCAATTGAGTTGCCAGAAACAACCACAGTGGTAAAGAAGGAACATAGAACATCGCTTGGGGAGCTGTTTCAGAGGACAAAAATAGCAGAGGAAAATTATGTAGCCAAAAGCGAGAGGGGAGAAAAACGGACATAAAAGGAGACAGATAAATCAGCCATACACCTTATGAAAAAGATGCTGAAGAAAAGAATGGTTCATGGTTCTTCTCGGAGCTCCACCACATCGACTGGGGGAAATGTTGACTCTGCTTCATCTGAGACAAAACTGCATAAGGTATGTGTACTTCTAGTTTAGACCTCTATTACATGAACTTGGGTGCAATGCATATCAAAATGTCGGACCCAACAAATCTCAAATTTAAGGTATGCAAACTCGGCAAAAAAAGGTGAATTTTTTTTTTAATATTATTTTTAATATATTATGTGAGACAAAATGGAAACATATAGTGTCAAAAAGGCATTTTACTTATTTTACTTCAGTCATTTGATCTATGTAGTGGTTTCACTACGTGGGACTATTGCAAACTTTCTTGGAGTGTTGAGATGCCATTATACCCTTATAGTGTACTGAATGTGCTTGTTCATCTTTAAGAACTTGTTTAACGTAAGTGTTCTCCAGTTATGGTTACATGCTCTCCAGTTACGGTTACATGCTCCCTTTTCTGCCTATGCAACAGTTTGATCGACAATTGTACTTTGTAGTTCTAATTTAAGCTCATTTACTTGACTATGTTAGTCTCATTTATAGGGGCTGCTATGGTTTTCCATGGGTTTTAATACTTCATTGCAAGCTAGTAATGGAAATTTCAATTTTTCATTTCTTTCAGTGATAGGACAAAATATTATCTGTTGGCATCCTTTGTTCTACACATAAAGCATAGTGAGTCCAAGGATTCCGCTGTAAGCCCAAGAATTTTGCTTTCTGGTCCTGCAGGTGAACAAGACCATCTCCTTGTCCTAGAACATTTTACGATCTCTCTTACTCAAAATAAGTTTGAGTCTATGAGTAGAGAGGTTTTTGAGTGATTTTTACCCAAATTTAAATTTGATATAGGTTTCAGTCAAGGGTTGGACATGCCATTATATCACTGTGTATTCTATATTTAATTTTCATTTTGAGACTAAATAGTATTGTTTGCCTTTTATTTGTAAATATTTCAGATTTATCATGATATGACAGCTCATTTATCTCACTATTTTGTATAAACGGGCCATAATTTGTATCTAACGGGAAATCAACTAAGGAGTGACTGCAGTGATGTCCCGATCATACAAGCATTGCAGAGAGGTGTTAGAGTATTTGAACTGGATATCTAGCCGAGTTCCACAAAAGATAATGTCAATGTTCTTCATGGAAGGTAATTGTGCTAATTTGCAAATGGCAGTCAATTCTAATATGGGAATTTTGAACCCCCCAAGTTATACTTTAGGATTATATCTCTATGTGACTTTGTATATGATGGTATCTAGAATATTTTTTACAAATGTTCAATTACCAGTATGTGTATACCCAAGGAGTTGAGTTGTTTTTCTTCTTTCTAAGGAAACTCTGGCCAACCTCCCAAGCGTTTAGAAGTTTCTAGGAGCTCAAATGGAGAAGATGATGAAGAATGGTCGCTGATATCTGAAATGCACTCAAGGTATTTGCACAATTAATATTCAATTGCATTTCTTTTGTAGAACATTAAATATTTGAGATTGGTAGAGCCTCTTAAACTAAGTTGTTGGTTATAGTAAAATTTCTGTTAAACTTGCAATTTATGTGGGTAAAGTGACATTTTATTTTTACACGCTTCATGTCATGCTAGAGGTATTTAATGTTAAGACATTTGAAGGGGTGTGATCAGTCGGATTTTATCTTTTGTGAGACTAGAACAATCTCTAAAAATAGTTAGTTTATTCATATGCTTCTAGCGGTTTCTGAATTAATTTGTGTTTTCATTTTTCAGGTTAGAAATTTCTTGGAGAGATGCAAAATATGGTCAAAGAATTCAAGAACTTAATTTTGCAAGTTTTTTCATTTTTTAATATATGTAAGCACAGTGTAAAAACTTTTTATTTAATTCCTCTGTATATACTTTTGAACATATTTAACTTTCATTTATGAAATATATGACGCTATTCCATTCAATATGTGATTGTGATTCAAAGTATAGTATATAGCGTGTATTACATTCTTGAAATGCGCGTATAAAAATAATATTGATTATTCTTCAAATATGTCAAATTCTTTTTTTTATCACATGTTTTATTAGTTATTAATCACACTTAAAAGATGTGATCTAAATATTATTCATCACACTTAAAAGATGTGATCTAAATATTATTAATTACACTTAAAAGATGTGATGAAATCATTTTTAATGACACTTAAAAAGTGTGATTAAAAATGACCCCTTTTAATCACACTCTCAAAGACCAATGTGATCTAAATATTATTCATCACACTTAAAAGATGTGATCTAAATATTATTAATCACACTTAAAAGATGTGATAAAATCATTTTTAATGACACTTAAAAAGTGTGATTAAAAATGATCCCTTTTAATCACACTCCCAAAGACCACACTTTAATAAAACTTAAAAGGTGTGATTAAAACACATATATCACACTAAAAAAGTGTGATCTTTATCTGTATTTGGAGTAGTGTGTGCGTGTGTGTGATGTATATCTTCCAACCCCACGTCTTTCTCCCTTTTATTTACCAGCTTATGATGGTTAGTTTTAGGGCACGTTTAAATTAGCATCCTTATGCTCGTATGTTTGCATCCATTCATCTGTTTTGCATGCACCGGGCTCGGCGAATCATGCTAACTGCATTGTATTTCAATTCCAAATTGAATACGTGTATCGCTTGTTGCATCTCATATGCCACCTTAGAATAGCCGAGCCTATTGTAGTTGTATTTTTGCATGTGTTGCATTAGACATCTCAGCATAGTTAGGATTCATGCATGTTTTCTAATTAGCTTCTTTCTTTGGCTCAGAGTACTCGGTAAGTGTTTATGCTTTATCGTCCTTGCATGCGTGTGAGTGACTTCCATGATAGCATGCTTACCATGCGGCTATGTGCTTATGTGATATAACTGCCTGAATGCCTGTGGGAGAAGGTTGAGTTGCTTGAGTTGGAATAATTCATCGAAACCCGTGTTTTAGCCTACTTGCGAGTAGCAAACTTCAATCCGCTTTCAAAATAAACGGATATGCGATGCTTTGTTTCAACTTAGGCAATCTAGTCTATACTTGTATGTTGTGTGCATCACATAGTAATTCTAGGCTAATAACCGGAATAAGAGCACGTAATGTTTTAAAAACTCGATATCATGGTTAGTAGAGGCCAATCTTTGATCGGGCCAGCGGGGGTGTTCACGAAGTGACCATCCCCAATCGTACCCAAGTTCCCGAGCTGAGGAAACTTTGGTGATGACGGACACGTGGCCTTAGGCACGAGTCAGGGTTTCCTAAATTCTCCCAAAATAAAATATTTAGGTGGCGACTCTGTATCTGGCAAAGCAGTCCATGTTTGGCACTTCTTTCTAAAAAATCAGTTTTTCAAAACGATTTGCTGGATTTGGCCTCTTTGATGATTCATCGGTCTTGCATTACACTCTGCGAGATTAGATACAGGACCGTGACATTGAGTCCGAACTGTAGTGAACCCAATGAACAAAACGGGATTCCTTCTCGGGACGTTCGGGGAAGTCTACAACAGCCGAGGCAGACATAGGCGTGCTCGTACCGAGAGTAGCTCACGAGAGCCTTCCCCAGATGATGATGAGTTTGACGAGGAGGCAGCATCGTCTCAGGATGAGGCCGGGGATGGCTCAGATTCAGACTCTGATGGTGGAGATCCTGGACCTTCGTCCAGGAAGAGGACGAGGACGGACTCCCGCACTTGAGGCGACTGACGCCGATCCAGACATTTTGCTGCTTTTCTCTTTTTGCTTTATTTTCCTTTTTACTAGTAGTTTTGCACATTGCACTGCCTCAGACAGGTTTTATTTTCTTCAAAACTATGTACCTTTGCAAAAGAAAACAATGATGGAATGAAACAACTCTTTTGTTGAAAAAGTGTTACATTTTTACATTCTAAGCATCGCATCGCATCGCATCACATTACATAACAATGTAAGTGAGATTGAACTTTGTTTTGAAAACTAGACACTCGAATTGCATTAATCAGGTAGTGAACCAACTAACAACAAAACAACTGGATAAGCAAAACAAAGAACTTGACAAGCTAACCAAATGTAAATACAACTCGATAAGTAAAACAAGAACTAAAGAACACGAAATACAACTCGATAAACAAAAGTACAATAACTCGATAAACAAATTGAAGTAACACCGGCGCGACTTCGCAAAATCATCACCGCAAGGCATTGGAAGTGGAACCAATCACAAGTTCTCAACATCTTCAACACATATACAGCTTAGAGAACAAAGAGAGAGGCCATCGGCGAAAGGGAGAGGCCATCGGCCACAAGAAATGGCCATCGGCCATTATTACTAGCCGATCGGCCAAAAAAGATGGTCGGTCGGCACTCTTTTTAGCCGATCGGCCAAAAATGGCAAGCACCTCCAGAATGCTGACACCTATCTTCCACTAAAAACCTTATCTTCTACAAAAGCCCCAGCCTCGTAGTTTTCTCCATTTCAGCTCAGTTTTTACACCAAATGGAAGCATTTCTTGTCCAAAACCTCACAAATTGGATTGCCAACTTGGATGGCTCAGAAAGGCTGAATTTCCGGGGCTTCGACATAAATGCACTATTCATGTTGAGTCGCACCCTGCTGCATTTTCCGTTCCTTCATGCTGCGGCAAGGTTTTGGAATCCGGTAACACACGTCTTTAGCTTCGGCGGACAAGAGATGTGCCCCACTTTCGAGGACTTCCAAGCTTTAATGGAATCCGAGCACGATGAAGAAATCTTGCCTCAATTCTGCTTTGACTACGTCCAAGCCTTAGGACAAATGTGCGGGCTTACTTTACATGACGCTCGGTCATTGATTCACGACAGAGAGCTGGACATTCCGAGCTAGATTCGTCGGTTTTTTGATGCCGGTGACCGCGACGATCATGCCTGGCAGGGTTATCGGCGACATGCGCTTTGCCTGTGCATGTTATCTCATTTCTTGCTTGCCCCAGGCTCCGGTGGGTTTAATATTTGTCTGATTGAAGTTGCCGTGGGCTTAAAAGAGGGCAAGAGCTGCATTGCCATGACGCTGGCTGAGACATTGATGGGTTTGGATGCTTTTCATCGCCGGGAGATGACTAGGTTTGCGGGGAGTCCACTACTACTGCAGGTAATGTTTCCCACCCCATCTCACATATATTTCTCACATCACTCGGCCCCCAGGCTTGGTTTTTCTCTCAAAACCCTTTTCTCATTTTTGTCTCAACGTACACCTCTCTATTCTTTAATCTCCCATTTTTCATCCCTCCCCAGGTATGGTTGATGGATAAATTAAAGGTTGTGGACTCATGCCCAACATATTCAGCTCGCAGCTATTTTTTCTAGCGACGTCTAGTTGATGTCTCGGATGAGGGATGGTGGTGCGACTGGATGCGCAATTTGTTTGCTCTAGACATTGCTTGGCGCTGCCCCTGGCTTAATTTACCGGCGATGAGCTACAGCATGACCCGCCAGCCCGGGATCCAGTTGATTGGTCTGATACACTGTGTCTTTTACTTCCCTTTCCGATTCCGGTGCCAGTTCGGACATGATCAGACTTGCCCAAAAGAGGGGATAGAGTACCCTATTGCGTTTTCGGTCCGAGGCGCACAACTAGCTCGGTATACCACAGCATGGAGGACGAGAGAGATTCTGGCCCTCGCTTCTATTTTCAGTTGCACCCTCTCTGATGAGTGCATGGCTTGGCTTGATGAAGAGGCGCAGATCGGGCCCACTTTGGCATCAGAGGCTTCCACAAGCTCTGGGAGGGGACGCAGGAACACCTGACTATGCCCCGAATTTATTTGCTTTAATTAGTACTTTCAAGTTTTCTATATGAATGTAAAAAAAGCAACTTCAATTTGTATTCAAGAGTAGGAGAACTCTGTACTGAAATCAATGTAATTGAAGATTGTGGGTACTAAAAATTTTCTGTTTGGTCCAAAAATGGTCTAAGTTGTAAAAAGATTAATTTGAGCAAAATCAACTTTTATTAAAACTTTTCAAAACCATTTTCGATATGGATCAAAATTGGACATGCTCGAGATATATCACTGAGATGTACAATCCCGGATCCCAGCAACTGGAAAGTTGCCCCTAGTCTGAACAGCACTGCATCTAGAGATCACAACTGAGCTCTTGAATGCAAAATAGACAAAGATGACCAAACATGATCACATGGACAAAGTTGATCGGGGAAGTGTTTATGGCTGGACTTCAGAATGAAGTTGCCTACGTATCCCGAAGATGGGAATCAAGCCTTACGTAGTTCAGCTCGGGTTCACTCGTGTATTAACTCTCTCCTTTTGTGCTCTAACTTTTGCCAAGGCCGCCCTTTCTGGGTTTTCAACCTTGCAAGCTCAGTTTTTATTATTTCAAAATTTTCATGCTCTAACTTTTGCCTAGGTCGCCTTTTCGGGTTTTCGGCCTAGCTAGCCACTCAGGGATTGTATTTCTTCAACTTGTCCATGTTGATCAGTTGGGAGAACTCTAGGCCATCTAGGTCCATCAGAACGACAGCTCTATTCAACCAGATAGACTTGATGATGTAAGGACCAGTCCAATTAGGTCTGAACTTGCCCCTAAGGTCATGGATGAGCTCGGTTGTCTTTGAGCACCAAATCTCATTCTTTCAAATTCTTGGACTTAACCTTCTTGTTAAAAGCCCTGGTGATTCTTCTTTGATAACCCTGAACATGATATAGTGCTTTCAGCCTCCTCTCGTCAAAGAGCATAAGTTCTTCAAACCTACTTTGCTGCCAATCTGCCTCAGCTATCTGACACTTAGCCAATACTCGTAATGACGGAACCTCAACTTCGATAGGCAGAACAACCT